CTCTCTCTCTCTCTCTGACTAAACAGGGCACTCTCTCTAAAGTGACAGCTTCTTTAAGCAAACCCCAGTCTTCATCTCACAGGTTGGTGGTGTCTTGTTTGAGAGCTAACTATAGATCAATCTTTATGAGCAAAAATATATGATGAACATTAGAATCCTACAGGGCCCACATAGAAAATAGCATGTTTGGAAGAGAGGGGTGGGGTGAAGAAACAGCTGAAAAGGATGCCATGATAACTTTTGGTCTTTGGGAAAGAACATGAATCATGCACAGCATATGAATGCTTACTAATGACTTACCAAACATTCTGTCCCAGATTATCAATGTTCCACCTAAAATTTGGATATGTGAAAAAATAATGTGTGATTTTCAATCAATCAATTGATCGATAATATCATAGTCAAACCTCTATTAAGCACCCACCTATTAAGCGGCCACCCCCCCATTAAACAGCCAGTTAACAAAGTCCCAAAATTATTGTCACCAAAATACTGTAAATAGAACCCCCATTAACCGGCCACCTCTATTAAGAGGCTGTCTTGATGCCATAGTTTATATTTAATTTCATTTTGGGGACCCAGCAAGGGTCATACATTTTCGTGAAACAGGACAGCGCCCAAGGTTTATCACTTTTCAATATCATTAAATAAATGGAAAATTAATATCCACTTACCATAGTTCTTATCAATACAGTATGGATTTCTTCCTGAAAAATTCAAAGGTATACAATCATGGTACCATGTTTCATTTAGCAATAAGCCAATTAGGAAAGGTTTAACAGTGTTAATCATTAACAACTGAGACAGAAACAAATTATTAAGAGTTAGCTTTACATAAGCTCTGAAATACAGGATAGCACTGTCAGGGATTCACTACTCCAAAATGCACTGTGGACATTCCACTCTGACCCATGTCTGGAAAGAATTTTTTAATTTGCTTATTATCACTTTAACATTAGTCTTAGTTTACTGTATATTAGTCACTTGGTTGTACCTAAGTGGCCAATAAAAATATCTTACATGTACATGCACCCTCTACTTCTACACTGAGAAATACTCCATTGACAGGACGGGACTGACTAAAGTCCATCAGTATTATATTGCATGGGTGATGGTGTTGTTAATTTTGTTTGAAGAGAAAAATTAGTCTGGTACTAAACAGCATAAATTATTCAATTAACTGAAGGCATGTGAAGGTAAAAAGTTCCCTAACTAGCCGATTTTCTAGGGATAACAAGGATCTGAAAAATCTTGTAAATAATGAATTTCAAGAATTTAGTAAGTTGTATGTGAGTAAGAATATTATTCAAGTGTCAATAATTTGTTGTAGTATTTTTCATGGTTATTGAAGACACTGAGAAAAAATTTTATCCATTAAAAAAAATGAAGTTGGACAAAAGGTAAAGGTAAAGTCTGCATATAAGCCAAGTGGCTCATCAGGCCAGAGCCTATCCTGCAACTAGGAGCATTTCTACTCCCCCTGGATGGGATGCTAGTCCATTGTAGGGTTACCGTCCCCCAGCATTAAATTTGCCGGTACCAATTTATACACCTGGGTGGAGAGAGGTACTGTGAGAGTAAAGTGTCTTGCCCAAGAACACAACACAACGTCCCAGGCCAGAGCTCCAACCCAGACTGGTCGCTCTGGAGTTGAGGGCACTAACCATGAGGCCACAGCACCTCCCACAAGATGGAAGCTGGACAAGTCAACTGCATTTTGCAGTACGTAGCACTGAGGATAATAGATGGAAGGAAACTATTACCGTGATGAACACGATGATGACTTGGAGTGTTGAGAATGTACTCCAGGGGTCCAAGAGAACGTACAATCTGTGCGTAACAAAATAAAAAACAACATGTGGCTTCGTTGACAAAATCTCTGATAATATTGTCCTCAAAGATTTAAATGTAAAGGGTTATAGATTTCAAATATTGCTGATCAATTTTGTACAGACCAAGCTTGGCTCAGTCCACTCAGATGCCAGTTTTAGTTTACTTCAGGTAAGTGCGTCATAATACAATTTATTCACAAACTTACTCAATAGTTTGCCCAGATCGAGTGGTTTTTTTCTTGAGTGTTGAAAGTAATGCGCTTTGGTTTTGCATTACTACACCAAGCAATTGGCTTAAGAAAAATTCTACCACTCTGTCATCCAATCAGAAGTAAAACTAAAACTCACTCTCGACAAATTTCCACATTGTCTTTTCCACACTTCACATCAGCTAAATTTAAATACTTTCAATTTTGATTGGTTCACTGGATTTTCTGTGTCCTTTGTGACTGTCCTGTATGATTACTTTGGTTTCCACATGAAAAAAAATTAAAATTGCTCTGATCACTTATTAAGCTTAGTTTCCAATTCACTGATCCCACAATCACTTCTTTGGAAATGCTGACCGACCAATTTCCTTACTAACTCACCCACCACATGATGGTGTTATAGTCAGCTGCAAATAGAAAGAGAAATTACCTCTGTATGAATCCAGAACTGATAAAGCATGTTGAACTGAGAATGGACAAAGAAGATTGAAGGAGGTACTGCCAGGGCTAAGGGCATGTAAAAAATCTGCAACAAGGAGAATTTGAACAACTTAAAATCTTGTTTAAAATGTGCAGCCAACATTCTTCAATAATTAAAAAGTTCTTACATGACTCTCATTTGGACAGAGTTCCTACTTTAAGTTGTCTCAATTTAAAAGGTGCCACCTTGCTACTGTAACAATTAATAGCTAGTACACTGGAATATAGAGTGAAAGTTGATGTCCAGGCTTGAGCCCAAAGCTGGGTTCATTGTGATGCATTCTTGCATGGGCAGCCAAGGTATATAAATGGGTACCAGTGAATTTAACGCTATCAATGGTAAACATATAACTCAGTGATTGATTACAATTCCATCCAGGGGAGTAGAAATACTCTTAGGTTGCTTCATTCTGTGGAAACTGGAGATACCTGTAAGCAATAGCCTGGTGGGTTACTAGCACAGACCCAATTACTTTTACTTTCACTGCTCTAGACTACTCACCGCAGACGTGTAATTCTGCACTATTGATTGTCTCAGAGCTGTTGTAAGATTATAATCCTCTGAACTATGATGTACTTGATGAGCTGCCCACATAATGTTTATTTCTAAAACAACAAAAGTAAAAACAAGAAACAAAAAA